GGGGTTGCACCAATTAGTCGACTAGTCGATTCTTTTCTCTGCAATGACTTTTTTCTGGGCCAGTCGACTAGTCGCAATCACATGACAAAACAGATTTTTCCAAGGAAATGAAAGAAGGTGGACTAGGTGAGTTCGTCAGAAAGCTCAAATTGTATAAAAATGTAAATAATTTAATAATAAAGAGAAACTGTAAATTATAGCATAGGCTACCACAATAGGGGCGTTGCGCGGCGCGGTGGTTAGCGCGGCGCCCCGCATACAGAGACTTTAGCCCGCGGTAGTCAGGAGTCCGACTCCCGTCCTCCATTCGCTGGGCCCAGGCCTCTCTCCGCTCTCTCTGCCCCCTTACAGTCAGATTGCTGTCAAATAAACTAGTGCCGAAAAAATCCTTAAAACAATAAATAAAAAAGACTACCGGAGTAATGTGTTATCTTTATCAACTTTATTTAAAGACGCAAAAATGGGTCCATAGAGTAAAAGAAAAAACAAAAAAGCAAATATACAATAATAAAAAGAAAATTATAAGTACAGTAATCACATAACCAAGTCACTGAATTGCCATAAGGCTACATCGCCAGTGAGTCCACATTTTGGACTTACACCTGACTGAACTTCGTGAGATGTCTATTAGTGACAAGATAATGTTGTTTGTGGAGAGACATAACCCCCCCATGTTACAACGCGTCATGATGTCAGGCTTTTTTATCCATCCAACTGATCAGCGTCACCCTGCGTATTGAAGCTTTTAACCTGGCAGCTTTACGCTCTTATAAAGATATGGTTTGACTACATCTGGAAACTAAGTCTGAGGATCTGATAGAGGCGATCTCGGTCTGCATGTCGGTTCAGAGAGCCGCTGCTGAGTCAGCAGAGCNTTGTCAGCACATTCAACTTTGTACAGAACAAAGTATTATACGTAACATCGGCTTCATGGCTCCGTCCTCATATCCGTCCGCCATGTTGTCGATCTCTACTGCTTACCACACTCTGCCTTGCTGTACTGCGTTATAACAAAATAAATAAAATAACGGGAAGTTCAGTTTTCCTTACAAATATGCGAGTGTTCACTATTGACTAAATGTGAAATCATAACTTACTGAATTTCTCCTCGTCCTGGTGGACTCCGTCAGATCGCCTCGGCACCGTGGTCTGAGGCCTGGCTGTGGAGGCTCGGCCATTTTTCTGGTCTGAAAAAATAAAAGATGCGAGTATTTTTAAGAGTTCAGAACATCACATGTAATAAAAAATACAATACGAAATCTCACCCTACACTTGTTTTGGCATATGAAAACAGACCGCTTTCTGTAAGAAACAAACAAAGCAACTCGCCTCGCTATTCATTAAAGCTTTCTTACCTGAGTTCGGCCTGTTGGACCGCCGCGGTGTCATCTGTTTTCCGCCGGTACATTGCTTAATATCAAAACGATACTGAAAAGGTAACTCCGTGAAATAGGACTTTTTCCACCATTTCAGACAACGAACGGGCATTTTCGTTCATGTTGGGTTTAGCAGTAGCCGGTGCAAATCTTCCTCTAGAGATTAATGGCGGCTGCTTGACCGACTATGAAAGCGCATTACTGCCACCAACTGGACTGGAGTGTTAAATGAAAGTTGACAGAAGAAAAATACATTCTAAAAGTTATTTTTTCAAGTTACCTGACAGTATATTTTATTTCTATTATAATTAATTGTTGAAATGTTTGTAAATGTATAGATGTTTATTTACTCAATTCTACTTTGAGCTGTCTCCTTTTTAGTTTATACAGAATATAATGATTCATAATCTGTGAGTTATATTTAGTGCTTAACTAACAAAACTTTAAAAAAAGAATACAAATGTTTATACCCTATCAGAAGGTATCGCATACTTTCAACCATTTTGTTCTATTTAAACTCGAGAGTTAAGCAACTGAATACTGATAAATCATCTGTAGTTTAAGTCCTGTATTGTGATGTGGAATGGTGTCACTACTAGGAGTTGCACCAATTAGTCGACTAGTCGACTCCTCGATTCTTTTCTCTGCACTGACTTTTTTCTGGGCCAGTCAACTAGTCGCAATTACATGACTAAACAGATTTTTCCCAGAAAATGAAAGAAGGTGGACTAGGTGAGTTCGTCAGAAAGCTCAAATTGT